GATTTTTTGGAACACATCATATTACAGAGGACTTGAGTCAAAAATATAGTGTGGATGCTATTCTATTTTAATAGCTAGGTTTATTGTCACAAAATATAAGTGCTCCTGCGGTTGGGAACCCCACTTTCCACTTTTCAAGTTTTCACAAAATAACATCTCATGTGCGTCCAAGAATCTTAAAAGCTTCATACCCATCCAGATAGAATAATCCACCGAAAGACATGAATGATAGTTATCAGCATCATTTTGGCACTAGGGTAAGAAGAAGACAAATGTTTTCAAGGAAAAAGAAAATAATCGAAGATACGTAACAGGAGAAGGAGAAAGGGGTGAAGGGATTCATATTGAAAGTTATGCTCCTCAGAAACTCCTCATGGTTGGAGTCGGAGTTGGAGTTGGAGTTGTCAGGAGAACAAAGGGAGTCGGATCTGCTGCTCGCAAGGCTGTCTGTAACGTGTTGCGTATCCATCCAATCATGAGTGAACACGTACACCAGCCTTGGGAGCAGCAGATCGGATTGGAATAAATGGGTTTTAGAACAGAAAATCATGAAAACAAAGACTTGGATCAACTATTGTCTCTATATAGCTTTTGCTTTGTACTTTCAAGGACAACATTACAAAAACAGCATGAGGAATGAGGATCATAGAATCTAAGGTCCAACACATCAGAAAATGGGGTCCTAGGGAATCTTCTAGTACTAGTGTCGGTCTCTGCTGATGCAAGGGTGTGGTACTGATATACGGAAAAAAATATCCCCACCTTAATTTGCATAAAATAGACACCAATCCCATTCCTATACCCCAGAGAAAACGATGGACAACAACGTCTTGTTGCTCAAACAAAAATGGTATGAATGGCCAAACAAGCATTTACCCACGAAGCAGCAAAGATTTTATTCATGGACGTCCTCTTCCCATTAATTATAGCATATCCTATTCAGAGATATAAACCACAAATGAGTCATCAACCTTTGACCAATAACAGATGCCTGAATACGCATCCTATAGGCGCACAAACAAATATCTATCTAGCTTCACTCTAGGAATAGATAGAAGATTGCATGGTTCAAATTAGTCGCTACATTAACATCATGTGTCTGACCTGCAGCTACCATCTAAAGATCCTTCCCCTCCTTTCTGCAATATGGATCCGCGCGCTAGAGTTTCTTTCTTTTATGGGGATCTTTTTTTCTTTTTCTGTTCTTTCTGTCTTTTTTCAAGGATTCTCTATAAAGGCGGTTTGCAAGGACCAACCTTCAGGTTCCAGGAAAGTCAGGGCTCCCTGGCTCCCTGGCCTGCAAACAATAAGCTAATTGACTTAACCCCAAGTGTTGGTCCCAGCTGAAGAACTCTTCGGCATGCATTTGCCAATAGATCATCAGGAACCCAAAGTGCCCCAACTTCCCCAACTTGAAGGAAGGACCACTGAGAGATGAGAAACGATCTACAAAAGTTGTTGAGGGAAAAAGAGGAAGAATCTCTACAAGTTCCTTTCTACTGGAGATATAGACATCATGAGATGATAAGGATTCCAAATACCATTAGGACGGTGTACTTAAAGGACCACTGTTCCGTACAGATTCCTAGCTAGCGAAGTCACAGGACTCCCATCCAATGATCACCCCCAGCACGGAATGAAGCAATATCCCAGATAACGATCGACCATTTCTTGTTTCATGGGGGCCATGGAGTAGCACATTCATTCTCTCCATTTCACCAAAACTTACTCTAGTGGAGCATTTCAAGTAACAATGACATAAATAGTATTCTGTCCATCTTCGGAAGAAAAAGCTTGATGGTCATCCCTGCTGTTGGATAGCTAGGGAACGATTTATGAAACTAAATGGAGAGCCTATGAATAGAGAAAGCTCGTTTGCCTATTCTTAATCGCAAGTTCTCAACTAGAACAATTCTGTACCGATCGAGTTTGATGTTTTGCTTACAGCTAAAGGAAAGTCGATTGGGAAAAACACATCATACCTTGAATCAATTTAAGATATATGGAGTTGCATGTCAGAATCAATTCCAGACAATATACTACTTACAACAAAACTAATCTCTGCTTCCAGAAGTTTCTTACCAGCATGGTCCCTGGAGATGAGGTTATCCTAAACAACTTGCTGCTGAAGGCTAGCCGAAGCCAAATCAGAACATAGAATAATTCAGCCGGCCTAAACTAGAGCTCCGATTTGTAGTTTTTGTTCTACTTCCTCACTTCATAGTTCACACAGAGATATCCTTTCCATCACCGAAAAGTGGGTCCTCTTCTTGAGGGAGACATTAATTTGTCTCTTGAGAATATGGTTACAAATTAATACCTCACTTGAACATTCTAGTGATAATATTTCTAGGACTGTCGTTTACAGACGAGTCTGATAAACAAACACAGTTAACAGAAATAGAGAAAAAATAAAAAAACAATATTATGAAATCGGAAAGAAGCTTCTTACATAGGAACAAACTTTTTTAGTTCTGACAGAAATTGTACCGGATGCTGTTTCAGGTTGGACCGATGAATTGATGTTATGAATGGAAATGTAACCCCATGCTATTGTAAGTAGGACCATTGGTATGAGAGGTGGGATTCGTTTTCTACCAGTGAAAGTGGCTTAGTGCTGGTAGTGCAACTTAATTGTGATAAAACAGGGTGCCACGTCTTCGATACATTCATACATACTACACAAAAAGAAAATATATATATATATATATATATATATATATATATATATATATATATATATATATTGTCCTGTGTTACAGAAAAACTATTATTTATATTTATCTTTCAAGTTGCAGTGAGCACTTTATTTTACACATGGACATCTCAAAAAGGAGTGCTAAGCTTACCAGCCTGCTCTTTATTTTACACATGACCAAGACAATGAGTAACAGTTATATTTATTTGTTTGAGCCCCTTGGCTTCAATACATACTTGGATGGTTGAAGAGGCAGAGTAGAGGCAGAGTAGATTGCTAATCTCACCATGAAAGAATTAATGCTCAACTTTCGTAATACCACGGCCTTCAACATCATTACTCATCTCATACAATTTGCCAATTTGGTACCGAATGCAGTTTACATTGGTACCCAATGTAATTAACTTCTAAATTCTGACATAGAATGGTTTTCTTAGATATTAATCCTATTGAAATTTTGTTCCAATTAAAAAATGAAATTGAGTTCGCAGGGTTAGGATGAACTGGACTGGACTACACCCAAACTGATCCCGTCACGCCCTGCAAAATGCAATGTTTTCAAAACCGGATCAGACCGGATGGTCGGACTGGAAAAACCGAGAACCGATTATTTCCGTTTCACCTCAAAACTGTTTTTTGGGCAAAAATCGTTGATTTGGTCAGTGAATTGCTAATCCAGGCAGGCAAACCGTTAAATAAGACAATGGTTTTTGACCATTTTTTATTTTTTATTTTTATTATTTTTTGTCAGAAAAGATCATTCCTTTGAACCAAATAATTGGACCATTTGACCCAGGAATCAGACCCGAGGATGGTTCCCTGTCCGGTCTGGTTTTAAGACTTGGCCCAGAAAACCAGGAATAGGTGACCTTTTCAAGTCCAATTAAATGATGATTTTGACAGGTTGAACTGAAAAATCGCCCGGTTAACCAGTATAATTGGACCGGGGAGCATTCTGGTTTTTACTCCGGTCGGAGTCTTAAAACACTGATGAAACGTGATAGGGAAAAGGACAGATCAAATGGGATGCAATCTAACAATACGTCATAGCCCGAACCTGTGACTAACCCGATAAAAAACATACCAACCCATCTCATTGGTTTCCCAGATTAACCTGATCTCATTGGCATCCCTACTAAAGTTGAAAATTGAAATATGGAATAATATTACTACTTTTATTTTATAAGAGAATAATATTATTTGGATAAAAACAAATGAACCGGATTCTCAATCTGACAAACCACATCATCGCACCCATGACCCAACAAGGTACTATATAACTCGTAAGAGTTAACCTTATGACTCGTTAGAGGTGTCGTGTTCCACATGAACCATCATTGTACCGACTCGGTCTAGCCAGCTAGAATCTTTGGAATGTTGTTCAAATCGTAGAAACAAATCTACGATCTCTATGACGTGTAAGATCGCCCGTAACGAAGAAATCTTACCTGCACCTCAACTGCACCATTGACGAGGTAAAGAACCATAGTAGACTCGTGAGACTTGAGTACGGCGTTGGATAAATTGTCCCTCAAAATTTGCCCTCTTCATGCGATATTGTAAGAGACAAAAGAAATAACACAGGGAAATAAGATCGGCTAGCTGGATTCCTACTTCTTGGTTCTTCCCTCCCTTTCTCTGTGGGGAGTTGGGATACGTGTCACTACTCCATTAAGACCATTAGATTGGAATAAGTTGCGGGACCTATCAAATCTCGTCCCAAATTCTCAACCCAATGTGGTCAGAAATGGTCATCTTTGGCCTAAAACCCATCCCGTTTTAAAAATGATAAAACGAGCTAAGCGCTTACTTCTTATCTTTATCCTTCTTCCTAATAAAGATGAAATATCCATCTTTTTTCCTTTTTCCTTTTGTAGTAAAAAAGTAATAGGTTCTATCTTCTGGGTTGTTTCTTTTCTTAGTGGGTTTTTTCCTTTCTAGTATCAAATGAAACAGATTAATTACTTTTTTTCTGAAGAGCAAACAGATAAATAACTTTGTATCAAGCAAACTAGTAAAGGAAAAAGTTTACACCCAAAAAAAAAAAAAAAACAGAAAAGGAAAATCTTGTAAAGAAAAGGACTATCTCTTTTTTAAAAGGAAGAAAACCTGTCCTTATAAGATATTCCTCTACTTGTTACTTCTTGTTGTCCAGATTCATTTTAATTTGTGGCTCTACAGGTAATTTGTTATTCCACACCTTCTCAAGCATTAATCGCCAACTGGCACCACCCCATCCCACCCTTCTCCTCTAGTATATAAGGGGCACGCATGGCAATCTCTTTGCACATATCATCCACACTTGACTTAGAGTATTCTCCTTTTCTTCCCATTTCCTGGGAAGCAATAACTAGTCTTGTTCCCCTTTTTGGCTTTTCCTATCCTATATATTATTTTTCTCATTGTAACGACCTACTCTTCATTCAACTCCGCCTACCGTGAATCTGCGATATCCTATTCTTAACGTGCCAGCATCGCATCGCGTTCGCCACCCTTCCTCACTTGCCTTGAAAAGGAATGGCATCTGGCTCGCTGTCGTCCTCTTGCAGCTTCGGCTCCGGCTGGACTGCTACTCAAAATAAGTTGTTTGAGAAGGCGTTAGCGACGTATGACAAGGACACCCCCGACCGCTGGCAGAATATAGCCAGGGCCGTGGGCGGAAAAACCGTGGAGGAAGTGAAGAGGCATTATGAGATCCTTATTGAAGATCTCAACCATATCGAGTCTGGCAGAGTGCCCTTCCCCAATTACAAGACATCTGGAGGGAGCAGTGGCAGAAGCAATGGCGATGCCTAAGAGGAACAAAGGTAGTAGTAGTACTATATCCACATCTGCATTGCCTAGTAGTGCGTGAACAGTAAAAAACACAGTAATCTATTATGATTTTTGAATGATTTGGTTTCGTCTCTCAAGACCCACTTACCTTCCTTTGCGTATTTACTACTACTACTACTCTCTATTCATTCTGTTCTTGGAATCCATGACTGGTCAGAGCAAGTTGGCCTTTTATTTTCCTTGTTGACAGTCAGGAGAGCAGCTGCCGACCTAATGAGCCATCATTTCAGCTAAGTTAACCTTGTATATCATTCTCAGCTGTTCCCTATTTACAGAAAATCAGAAACCACAACTGTTTTGTGGGCCTCTGTTTTTTATCCATCAACCATCACCCCACTGTCAAACAGAGCTGTTTGTGCTTCTTTGGGGGGCATCTCTAAGTCCAGAAAATCTCAGACTTCACTTGTTGTAATCCAAGACCAATTCCAATCTCTGTTGGACACAAAATCTAAAACCATAACCATCTCCACAACCAGAGAAAGTTTCATGGACCCACGCCTATCCGTACTCTCCATAGTCCATACTTCTAATCATGTCGCTAACCCAAAAAAAAAACAAGCCCACCTGAAATCTAATCCTGGCTCACATGTACTTGCCCCTGTGTCTTCATCAATTTCACTCCGTAATCATAAAACTTGATCTATTTACTATTAAGCCTGCCTTCCTTGTAGAATTTCTGTCATTGTGACTCTGATTTGCACAGCTTTCTTATCGATTTTACCAACTCTGCTATCATGCAGCAGTTGTTTAACACTTTGAATGAAGTTTTACAAGTATGCGCGCACAATTATGGAATCGTTTTGTTGGTAATTTGACCGGAAAATTAGGGTTTTGGTTATGATTTTACAAAGGCTGATTTTCATTTCTTCCTCTGCAGGCTGGATTAACAAAGGTTCTAGCGCGGTGAAATCCTGCTCAATAAAAGATCCATTACACTCTTCACTTTTGGAAGAGATACGTTATTTCTTCTGGATTTGTCATGAATTTCCTTTTCTGCTGTCATGTATGTACCAAGGAAGAATTACTAAATCTATGCGCTTCTAGATTTCCTCTTGTTTATTGTTCCTACTGTAATGGATTGTCAAGTTAGAAAAGGTGCAGCAGTACTTTTTATTTGGTTCAACAGATTGAGCATTTGTTCTTCATCAGAATATATATAACAAAATTAAGGTTGTAGGAAACAAACTGCAATGGTATGTCATTAGTGGAGAAGAAGAATTAATATAACAAGCTCTATTTATTAAGGTTTTAATATAACAAGCTCTGTTTACTCAGAAGAGCCATCTCTAATCCTTCCTCCACCGGAAGAACTGAAACAGGTGCTGCATAAAAGAAAGCCAACGAAATCCATCGGAATCTTCTTCGCACGCAAGTTCATTATTTTTTGGAATCTGAAACCGGATAAAAATATTAAAATATGGAGTGACAACGATAATGCCGACATGAACGTATGAGAGAGACTCTTATATTTCTAATGAAGCATTAATTAAGAGCGGATGAGGGGAGAGAGAAAACAAGGAGAGGGAAATTTTTTGGTCTTTTGAGTCCTTCAAAACGTCACTCCAATTAGAAAGGGGACATCTGTATGTTTCTCCAGGATTTAATTCTGATCGAGTTGTTAGGCCAATCAGGATGCACCACGTTAACTCCGCCCCACTTTAGGTCCCCACACCTCATAAAACGTATTACATCATGATTGGCTCAATTTCATCCGACATCCGAGAAATAGAGGATATCGTATGGCGTGAAGGGATGAGGGATCAGACCAGTTTTTCCGCAACGAGAGTTGACTACTGGAAGAGTTCATTTTTCAGTTTTCTTGACCTTATGTACGGAGCACCGCGTAAGATGGAGCTTTCGTGCGAACTCAGCGAATCATAGAAAGCCAAAGTAGTAGCAGGAGTATACGGCTCCGAAAACGTGGCAATATGTGCGTTCGTCGATTGTTGAGATTCGCGATTTTAACTACCCATTTCATGGGGCTACACAATGGGGACCCCGTCCCTCATTCATTGAGATTCCAACCATCCATTCGAGATTCGACACACCACAAAAAGGAGGACCACGCAAATATGTGCGTTCCTTTCAGCCCTGAAACATTATTTTTTGAAAAACCATTGAATTGGCTAGCGATCTGGTGGTCGATTTATTAATCAGTTCGATCTGGATAATGGTTTTTGGATCATTTTTTTTAAACATTACACGCTGATCCATTCGAACCGGATGATTGGCCGGTGACCCAGAACCGGTGGCCAAAGTTCTGGATTGATATTTAAAACATTGCCTTCAAGCGACAACCAAGAGATAGAAATGGTTGACACTAAACACGTGGTGGGCCAGGCCAAGAGGAGATTGGATCTGTTTGTCACACAGGGCGCTTCACACGCACATCCTATCATCCATTGGGAACACCTCCCGTACTTATAAGTTATTATTTACGGGAAATGTTTCCAATGCACGATGGATGTGCCTGTGAGACGCCCATGTGTGAGAAGCAAATCCCATTCCGGCCAAGAGACCTTACCATATCAACTGAGCCACTTGGCACCTTGTGCAATGTAGGTAAGTTAACAAATTTTATTTATTATTATAATTTTTTTTAATTCAGACTCAAAATCGGGGATTCTGACTATATAAACTACAAAGAACGAGCTCCAAAGTCCAAAAGTCTGAACAACAAGAGAGGAAATGTGGAGCATGAGACCAAATCCATAAGCAGAAGCATTGTTGGTTACATTTCGAGAAGAAGCAAGAGAATGGATTATTTTGTTACCATTCATAGGATAGGAATAGCGAGCACAATAGACCGACAACTACAATGAAGTAGTGCAATATTATATTAGAAAACCTAACTCTCACTTATTACTCTTGTATGTAATATGATATCATAAAGAAATTCTTGTTTTTCAGTTTCCAATGGTTAGCAGTAGAGATAGCATTGCAGGAATTAAAAAGGGCGGGGGGATCAAAGGTAGAGAAAACCCCAACCATGACAATGGAAGCCAGATACAGTAAGAGTACTGTAGGATGCAGCAGGCAGTAGTAAGTAGTTGGACTTGGTCACCAAATCTATGGACTATGGGCTTGGCCTATGATAGTGGACGAGATGCACATGCGGGGCACGGTTACCCACCTCGACCTCATGGACAGGCAGAGGCAGGTTCTTATCAGCCCGGCCTCTGCTGTCCACCAACTAATTAACTTGGTATCAAGTGAGGGATGTCGCACAGGCAGCCACAGTGAGGTATGTCTGATTAGAGAGTTTAAGAAATTCAAAGAATTATTTAACCTAAAAGTTTAAACTATTAAGTGAGGTCTTTAAATAGGTTTTGTTTTTTAATATGTTCTATTACACCAAAGTTTATTGGGCTTGAAGTGTGAACAACACAAATCTACTCATACCTTATATTGAAACTTAATTAATTATAACAGGGATGATGAGAATCGAACACTCGACCATTTAGTCAAATTATAAATGAAGTCCTTGAATATATTTTATTCTCTAACAGAAACTCTTAAATGAACGGCCTTGATATATTCAAATTTTTAGCCTATTCAACAATCATATCTAGCTATGGCCTATGGAGGGATAAGGATCAAGGATGGTCCCGTTTCGTCGAGAGGACAGAGCTCTGAGCGTCAAAGTGCATTGTCTTTCGGCAGAAGGGGGGATAAGGATGGTCCCAGTCGTTTCGTCGGGAAATTGCAGCACTCAATTGAAATAATTTAGGGTCGAACTAAAAAGCAGACGGGCAATGTCTTGGCCTCTCCGCTCTTTAGCAGTTAGCTCCAGTAATGGTGAGAGAGAGAGAAAGAGGGGCGCTCGCTGACTTTAGACATGGTAGAAATCAGTGTCATTTGCATCAAATCAAAAGTTTGATGGATCATGTCATGGACCACTCATGCTGCTTTATCGTATTTCAGGACAACAAAATCTAAATACGGAATTACGGAAGAATGAGAGAGACTTGGTGGGCTTTTGATTGCTTTGCATTTGTGGTCCTGTCCAATATACTGATGATGATGATGGTGGTAGTGGTAGTGCATCTTTTGTTATTCGTACCCACGCACTTAACATGATTTCTGATTTCTCTCTCCACACTGACAATGGTTTATCAATTCCCACATAGCGATTACGCTTTAGTTGGCTCTTTGGGTTTGGATTTGGACTTCAAACCATCTCGGGCTGGAGTTGCTTTCCAAACAGCAATTTTTGTACACTTTGTTGCTCATTAAACATTTCAACTAGGCGAGGCAACATGGGAGTGCAAATTCTTGTTTACTTTTGCTTTAGATTTTCACTTTACACTGTTGCAGGTTTTATTTTACTTCATGTGCACTACAAACAACATAAAATTTGATGCAAAAGTGAATTTAAATTCACATGCAATTCATTTATGGGTCAAGAGCCATCAGATTGTTACCTCTTAAAAACTGTTATTTTTTGTCAATTAAAATTATCGATACACAAAATTTTGTATATCAAGATTATTACTACTTTGAACCTTACAAATAAAATAAATTAAATTAGACTCAGTTTGGAAAGAGTACAAACACAAATATGTACAATACAACTATATAGAACAAAAACTACAAACCCAATCCATTACTAGTCGAAGATAATGTGGGAGTGGGACTATCAGTAATACCATTCTTAATTTTAATAACTAGAGGTTAGTGCTTCGGCATGCCTAGATCACTAGCATGATAAAAACCTCCTATGACGACCCATAATTCAGTATCTTCTGGTCTAAAAGCTCTGCATCTCTTACTCGGTTCTTAACAAAGTTGGTGAAATTGTTTTAATAATTAAGAACTTTTCCTCGATTTTCTTTTTCTTTTTCTTTTTTTAATTTTATTTTCTATTAAACCAGACATAGCCATATAGGGCGCAGGTTCTTGGCCCACCCCATTTGGGAGTCCAGACCTGTCACAAGAAAAAAAAAAAAAATCCAGCCTGCCAAATAATCAAGGATTTCACAAGATAGAGAAGGTGGGAACCTGGGAATGCTTGAATTTTACTTTTTAACACCTCTACCCGCTTGATACACACAATGGAACATTCGTTGAATAAAACACTAGGAAAATAAATCCAGGTCTCTCATTCATCGGATTGAAAATTGTGAATTTTCTGAATTTTCCCTTTTTGCATCAGTGAGTTATAAACATGGAGGATTTTCTTGGAATCAAACCGATTAGGGTGTTCTCATTTGATCACCATGTCACAAATCCCACTTTTATTGGTATAAGTCCATATGAACCAGAAATGTTTCAAGATCTATCAAAAGAAACGAACTCACATCCAAGCCCAAGCATACCATTTAGCTACACGCCCAATATGTAAGGGTATAAATAGACCGGTTTTTGGATTGGATCCCATCCAATCCAAACCCAATTTGGAAGGATTGGATGGACCAACAAGACATATTGGATTGGACCAATCATATCGTATCAGCCACCGTTTAATATAGATTTTTCAAAGCATTTTAAGGAAACACAAATTTTAATAGTTAAATAACATTAAAACAACCCCTTTTCAAATTTTGAGAAAAAAATTAAAAAAATGATGCATTTGGTATAAAGTAGCAATACATCATACAATACTTTGAAGACGAAAAAATATCTTGGGCTTGCACCTATTTGTCATCTAACACCAAGACTAACAAGCTACCAACCTTTTGAATTGTCTTCTTAAAGCAAGTCTCATGTTCTTCCATAGAGGTATGAATGAACTCATCAATGTGATCCCTTAAATCTTTCAGGAAATTGGCATCCTCTGACTTCTTCTTTCGACAAGAAGTGATGGGAGGGGTTGCAGCAGATATCGGCCGGGATTCAGATTGATTTTTTTGAGACTCCATCCTTGGAAGCTTCTGATGCGCAAGATACAAAATAGCAAAAACTAACCTGATGTTTACGATGGGAAAGATTTTCAAAACAAAACATTCATCAAGGTATAACTTAGCCCACAAAGCTTGCATAATTGCATACTGCATGAGCCCTCCACTATTCTATTTTGATTACTAAAAATGTGAGTATTTTATTATTTTGAAATACTATCATAGTTATGTATAAAAGGAAGTGATTGGGAAAATATTTTTAAGGAATCATCAAGGTTTGAAT